ATGAAACCCCCCAGCTTCTGGCCTGGGCCACTGCAGGCATGTGGCTGCATTTCCAGAATCAAAAGTGAATGTATGCTCACTTGCTTATCAGTTCAATGTATGCAGCTTAGACTAACCTGTGAAGATTGAATCAATTCAGACTTGGGCTTTTTGACTGTCTGTACTTGGTCCAAATGTCTTACGGGTGAATAAGCCTGCTTTACTGAGTGGAGAGTCTGTTCTGCTACTCCTTGACCTTTCAGCTCTGTCCTGCTGCACACAGGGCATAATGAGATATTTATTTGTTTTTTTAGTAATGTGCTGGTACTAATGGCTCAAATAGCCAGGACCATTTTACAAGAAAGCTAAACCAGTAGTGGAATCTGTTCCTGAAGAAAATAGAGGGGACAGAAGCCTTCCTAAAAGACTTCTTTTTCTTGACTTTCCGGCTTTCCTGCATGGGTACCAAGGCTGTGCAAATGCAACCCCCCCCACCTTTCTGCATTAGAACCTGGATAGTTAGCTGGGTTGAGTTCCTTACCTGCCAAGATGGGAATTGAGAACTAGCTTCAGTAAATAGTTGTATGGGACAGCTAAGGTCCTCCAGGAGTTGGAGTGGCTTTTATTTCAAAAGATGTCACTTCTCTGATCAGCTGCTGAGACTGCTGATGAGTTCTGCCTGAAATGCGAAGCAGTGCCCTTCAAAGTAAAAAATAAACAAACAAAAAAACAAAACCCCCCTCAGCGCACAGCTGAACAGATTGTTCTTAATTTGGGAAGCCACTGCAATTTGGGCTGTGAACCAATGGGATATGGATGATTTGGGTTATACTGTACTTTTAGTTGCACAGCTCTAGAGTTGTGGGGACGCCAGAGTTGAATGAGTTTTCCTCTTCTGGTCTTTTCTCTTTCCCTAGGAAGACTGAGGATGTAATTAAGTTTGTGTGTCAGGCCTTAATTTCTGGTCTAGCTAAAGATGGAATAACCCAACATCCTTGCAACAAATGCTGTCCCCAATGTCCTGCTCAAATTTGACTTTGGAGAATTGCATTTTATTGTCCTAATCATTCCTGGTAGTTTGTTGTCCCTAATGGGCGGTCTGGATATCATTTCATTTTCTGCCTCAGACCGCTGCTTGTGTTCCTATGAGCTGTTAAGCAGGTGCTGCAGTTCTGTTGTGGATGATACTGGATTTTACTTACATGCATTCTGGGATTCTTCTGGATGAGGATACACTATATTAACATGTTTTCTTATCACTGAATAACAAATAAGAAACCTAAAGTTTCAGCAGTCCCATGCTACCCATGGGGTAGTGGTCTTGATATCTGAGTCGCATGTCAATAAATTTCTGAACAAATAAATAACAGCTTGAGAGAACTTAAATTATTTGGCCTCTGACAATTGCAGCCTCCGGGAACGTGGGGAGTGGTTTATTATGTTTTTTGTTTTCAGCTGCAATTGCTTTGTCTGTTCATTTCTACTAGCCATAAAATAGAAATGATTTCCATAAATGGAACATGCTTAAGTTGCCAGGGTTAAGCTTTTCTTACCATGGAATGGGATCAGACAGGAGAGTTGCAATGGATCAGCTATGATGTGCTCAGAAGCAGTAAACAGCATTCGTCTTAACTTAGGGGACAAACAACAGCACCATGTTTCCAACTGTTTAACTCAACAGTTAAACTTTTGTGTGAAACTGTTATAAATGAAATATGGCCCTTGGTTGGCATATCTCAGTGAGAAGGTTTTCCATCAGATTCTGTAAAATATCTCTTTTTAACTGAACATGTTAGCTATTTCTCATAACTATGAATATCTGTGTTGTAAAGTTTAAACTTCTTCTGATGTTGGCTATTAACCACTAAAATGATACTTTACTAGTGATTACTTTTTTAATTAAGTGCATGTATTAGCTATAAAGCCACTTGAGTGCATTGTAAATAAAATGCTGTAATAATGAAATGTTTTAATTACAATCCCTAAAGTATGCATAGTATTCCATATTTTTTATTTAAATTCTTAACATGTTCACTTTTTTCAGAAAAGCCATTTGAAGCTAACTGTAAAGATGGAATTCTAGCCTTAAGTCATTTGAGCAAATTCCATGGCTGTTCTCCAGTTAGTGAGTTTTCACAGCATTTGCAGCAAGCTAATTGCTTCTGCTAATAAATAATCTAAAATCAATGCTGACAGCAGTTAATTGGCACAGAGACTTTATTCTGTAAAGCACTTGGCTAATGACCTTCTTTAAATTAATAGCATTAAGTGCTATGAGGAAATAAATCTGAGGAATTGCCTGTCATTTGCTTGTCATGTCTAATAACTTCCAATAATGATGGCTGATAGATTTTTGCACATTCCATTATTGAAGTTGGTGCATGTAATTATTTTCCTCATTATATGTAAACAATTAGCAATATTTGGTGTTTCCTTGCAATAAAGCTGTTAAGTACAAATAGCATATTAGAGGTTAGAAATAATTTTAAAGCTAAATTTCTTTTCCTTTTAATGCAGCAAATCAAGAAGTGCACACAGTAATGCCTCATTTGAATAAGGTTTACACTTCTGCAATTGTAATATAATGCCTATAAACGGAAAAAATAGACTTCTTAACAGTATTTCAAAGTTTATCTTGTTGTGTGAAACCTTTTTGTTTTTAGCTTGAAGAAGTAATGGAAAAAGAAACTTACAAGACTGCTAAGCTTATTCTTGAGAGATTTGATCCAGAATCCAAGAAGGCAAAGGTAGGAATTTTGAATCAATGCTATTTTTTTAATAAAATACACTGTAAAGAAAAGCACTTCTGTAATACTATTGTCACTAATTGACAGGAGGTTGAACTGCCATCTGCAGGAGCATCTCCAACCCCAAGACCTGGACAAGGTAATAACTTTATAAAGTTGCAGCTCTTTATGAAAGATTTATACCAGAGAGTTCTACCAGAAGGGTTGGTTTATAATGGGACCTGTACCCTAGACTGCTTCTCAACTTCTTAGAGATGGGAGGATTAGCATTAGGTTTTATCTCTAAGTTCTTTATTTGATAGTTAGTAAATATATTTGAGAAATGAAGAATGATGCTCCTTTTGGTCAGGTGGATGTTTTTAACTAGTTAATGTTGATGCAGTGAGAATCTGGTTCCAGAATACATTAATGTCAAGATAAGCTGTGGGTGACCAGGTCCTGGGTTTGAGAAGCTGACCAGGGTTGGGTGGAGCAAGCAGATTCCAGGAAATAGGCCAGTTAGAAGCCTAGGAGGTCAGTCTGCAGGCTGGGACTTGAGGGTAAGTTGAGTCAGGAAGCCAAAAGGATCAGGTAGAGCACAGTCAAGTAACAAGCTGAGCTGAGAACCTGAGAGGTCCAACAGAGAACAGGCAGAAGCACAAGCCACAAGGAGCAGTGGGGTAGTCTAGATAGGGGTTGCGTTCTGTTGCCTGGGGCACTTCCTTTTCTGGCTCAGGGGTTTATATGGGAGGGAGGGAGTTATCAACTGATCGTGGCTGGGCCATGCCAGTGGCAGAGAGTTGGCAGATTCCTAAGCTCAGATGGAGGTTTCTGGCCACCTGTGCCCAGCCTGAATGGTCAGATGGAGAGGTGGCAGACTGAGATGAGCAACTGATCCAGACAGGCTCGGGTCCCAGATTTGAAACCATGGCTTGACAGTTCTTTGAGACCTTTCTTCAGAAAACTGGATTGTTGTCAACAGTCTCATTTGAATGTGTATTCAAGGATGGAGGCTTTTTTAACAATTCCTATTTTTTCTTCAGTTAGTCAAAACTTCAAGGATAACCCTTTTTTGGGGCTTTTTGGCGGCTGTTTCTTGCGGGGGAGGGGGGAGAGGGTGAAGGTATGTAGGAGAAAATAACAAAAGCTTGTGCAGAAATCAGCGAAATATTTTATAGAGCACTAAAACATCAAACTTAAAAGCAGCTTTGTATGATTATAGTTGAAGATAGATTACCCAGAAAATAATGTTCACAGTCAATTTAAGAACTAGTTTGCCTTTAACACAAGTCAGTCCAATAGCTGATAGTGTGCATTACAAGACACTGGAACCTGAGACAGGATTTTCAGCAGGACTCAAGTTTCTAATGGAGCATGTGTTAGTTGGCAACTTGTGTACATCTTTCATGTTTGCATGACAGCCTCGGATTTTTTTTTTGAGAGGACAGAAAGCTCATACTTAATTAAATCACTGTTTCCTTCTCATTGTTTCCCATGCTTCTATGTGATCTCTTGGGTTTAGTAAGAAGAAAAGATGGATCTACCTGAGCTGATTTTTTTTAAACCATTTGGGTTACTTTAAAATGATTTAGTTTCTGCTTCTGGCAAACAATATTGAATGTCTGTAGAATCATTATAATTTACTATCGAAGTTGTTGCTGTAACTTTTTCAACTGAATGAAACCCATACTTCCTGTTACTTGTGCTCAGCTTTCTACACTTGTCATAAAAATGTTAATACCCTGCTGTGTCAATGTAAAGATAGTATAGTGGTCTCGCAATCCTGCTTCCTTGGTTTTCTGATATGCTGGGCCCAGGAGTATTTCTTCTCTGCAAACTATGGTCCTTTTCCCCACTATTTTGCTGTCCTGTTCATAATTCTTTTTTATCTTTTCATCTCTCTCTCTCTCTCAAGACCAAAATGCACCCTTTGGATCTCTTATCTACTGACACACAACAGTTTCATCAGGGGGTTCTTGTAGCTAAGGCATAGTGGCAAAATTCTTAACATGTCTGTCTGTCTGTCTCTCTCTCTCTAGAAAGGGAAGTTCTAAGTCCTTCTCTGGAGTCGTGGTAATGAGTATCCTCAGTTCACCTACCTTCAAATGAGTATCAAGTCATTTGTACTAGGGAGGCAAAGCCAGCTGGTTTTGATGCTAGCCGCATTGCTCCCCTATGTACTGTTGGCTTTAGAAATGTGTGCCTTAACCATGCTAGCCCAATGGGCTGTTAAGCACAGGTGGACCTTTTGACTTGATCTTGATTCTTGTAGCACTTACAACATCTGGGTAAGTTGGAGCCTCTCCTACCCTTTAATTGTCATGATTCTTTCACTTAGATCAGGGCTGACCAACATCTGAGCAGCTGTCGGCTGCATTGCCCCTAGACTGCAGACCAGATGGTCCCCAGGGAAAATGGCAGGAAGCAAATCCTTGGAGGAGGGAGGGGCTGCCTGGTGACCCCAGTGGCCTCAGGTATGAGGGAGCAATGGTAGCAGCAGGAGTTACGGGGTAGAGAGAGGCAGCAAAGACCAGGGGGAGCAGTGACTTTAACCCTTGGGGAGAAGTGCAGGGGGCTGAGGAGGTAAAGGCTGTGGGAGTCTGTGGGCCTTGAGTTAACTATGAGTTAGACAGTAAGCCTCTGTGAACAGGGAAGTATTTGATTCGGATTCAGCCGATTGGAGGACAGTGATTTGATTTGGATCACTGTCCTGAACTGATTTGGGGAGATTTAGATCGGAGAGGCAGGCACAGCTGGGATGCTGCATGTTCTCTCATGGCTCCTGCTGTGCCCGCCTCTCCCTGGGCAGGGGGAGTCATGGGAGAAGCCCCCATGGCTGCCCTGCCTAGCCCCATCTCCTGCCTGGCCCCAGCCTAATCCTGGCAGTTTAATTGGAAGGAGAAAAAAAAAAAAGCCCTGTACTCAGTGGCCACAGGAGTGGCGTTGGGGCCTCTGGGCACTTGTGGCAGAGTCCCCCTGTGCAGTGTGGGGCAGCGGAGATCTCCCCCCCTGCTGGGCATCCATGTGGCAGCTGCCCCATGGTGTGGGTGCAGTGCAGCTTGGCAGGGTGCCACATGCTGCCTGGGAGCTGGGGCCTCTAGGGCTGAGCAGTGCTGGGCTCCGGCTGACGCATGGAGCCACCCAGGCAATTCGAACCGGGGTCTGGGGAAGCAGCCGGGAGCTAGAGGGATGTTCCGGTTACTGAACATTCCCTCAGCTTCCAGTTCAATTTCTCCAGCTACCCAATCTTTCCCCCAGTTCTGATTGCTTCCCCCAGCTCTTCCTGAGGGGCATGGGCCTCTGGATGATGCAGGATGGATGATGGCGGTGGCTCTAGGCTGTTTCCCTAGCTGGCAGCAGTGGCCTGCTGAAACCCCACGTGCAGATCTGGGGGCCATGCCACACAGGAATAGCTGGCAGAATGATCACAGAGCTGGGGAATCTAACCGGGAGCTCTGGCTGATGGGTGGAGCCATCCCGGCTCCCAGACAGCGTGCAGCACCCTGCTGAGATGTGCTGCACCTGCACCATGGGGCAGGTGCTGTGCGGGTGTCAGGCCTGAGGGGGAGGGAGGGTGATCCTCACTGCATGGGAGGGCTCTGCCAGGAGCGCCCAGAGGCCCTAATTGCCACTGCTACAGCCAATGAGTGCAGGGCTTTTAAAAAAAAAAAAAAAAAAAGTGCTGGGGCTGGGTGGGGGAGGGGGCCAGGCAGTGCAGCCATGGGGGCTTCTCCCGCATCTCCTCTGGCTGTGCCTGCTTCTGCCCCAGCTGTGGGGGCTCTGCCCTGCTGCCGCGCCCGCATCCTGTACCTCCTCTTCCCCCTCCCCAAGTAACGTGACCCTGTGCCCTGGCTGGCCAGCTTGTCCCAGCCCCAGTCTCCCCCCCGCTTCCCCAACCCTGACAGAATTACCAGCTAGAGGCAGCTAGCTGTCAGCTCTGTTTAATCTATGGCCAAATCTCCAAATTGGCCAAATCTTTTTCCAAAGTTTTTCCGAATCGATTTGGATGCTTCGAATCAATTCAGAGCTTTTACGTGGTCTCCCAATTTAGATTTGGTACCCAAATTAGGCCAAATCTCCTCCAAATCAAATTGGCTACTGAAGCTTCACGCGGCCCCATTAGACAGCTCTGAGTTCACTTAACAGTTGCACAAGAACTATGCTGAAAAGTCAAGTAATTATGAGGGGAGACCAAACTGCCTAGAAATGTGGTCCTCAGCTCTCTAAGCTTTGTGGCCCAAACTGCTGTAAGAAAATTGGATTGGTGGTATATCAATTTAATATGACATCAGATTAACAACATGTAGTCAGTCTATGAGCCTAACTTTCTTGTAGAAAACCAGGGTGTGTTTTTTAGTAGGCATGCAACTCATTTCATGTTATGAAATTAACAGTATGCTTCTTTGCTTGTTGCACAAGGGTCAAAATGTTTTTCTGGATTTTTTTTCCTATGAAGAACCATTAATTTTTTCCAGTGACAGCAGTTCTAATTAACTTCAGCTAAAAGTTTAATTAAATGAGGCCATTGGATGAATTTAGGACCCTGATACATTTTGAGTGAGCTTGTTGCACCTTAAATTTATGTATAAAACTTTAACTACTTATCCTGAACCTGTACTAAAGGTGATATAATGTTAGGCACGTGCTGTAGAAACTTGGAAGTCAGTTAGGGTAACCCCTCTCCAGCCATGTTCACAGAATTATGGAAAATTAGGGATGGAAAGGGATCTCTGGTGGTCATCTAGTCCAATCCCCTGCTCAAAGCAAGGACTATCCTCAACTACCATCACAGCCAAGTTAAATGTTGCAAAGTTGCCTGCCTTTGGCTACCCTTATTCTCATGTGTACATGTACTTTTATATGCCATAAAGTAGTATGCTTATGCATCATTCTTGCAGTGCTACAAGGTGGGCTAAAAGCTTGGTCTCATTATGAGGTATCTTTCATGAATTGATCTCAACTTTTGGTGAAAAGGATTTAGCACACAGGGAAAATGATACCTTATTTGATGGGTCATCTTAATAGTTCAGACATTGTGTGCAAAGCAATACCTTTTGGTTTCTGCATTCACATTTTTTTTTTTTTTTTTTTTTTTGGTGCTAATACGGCAAATTTTGCTCCCCCAAAAAATCTGTGCCCCTGTTAAAACTAATATTACAGTCCAGTCTCTTTTATTCATAAGCTCAAAGGCATTATGGATTGATCCAGTCAGCTGGTGCTTAACAGGAAGAGTTACTGTTATGGTTTCATTCCTTAAGTAAGAATAATCTCTATTAAAAAATACCAGAATGTTCTTGATGTTTGTACTTCACTTAAAGTTCTGGTAACAAAAGTGAGTCTTTATGTTGTCAATTTTGGCTTTGTTTGCACAAAGTAGTGGAGACTGAGCCCAAATAATTTTTTTGTTCTGTGCAGTGCCTCTGGTGCTAGTAGATTTCAAACCAATATTAATAAGATACATGCATAACTTCATGAATTTGGTTTAGTGAAGTTAATGTAAATTGTCAGAATGATATGAAAACATTAATCGTGGCTTGTTTCGTTTTCTCTTTGCTCACACTAGACACCCGTGCAGTTAAGTAGCAGAATTCAGCTACTGAAAATCTTTGTGCTTCTGATTCCTGTTCTTTTTGAAAGGAGGATACTTTATCTTGAAAGTGTGATTGGATTAGCCTCAACTTTTAATTTTGTGTTCATGACAGTTGAAGAAAAGACAGTTTGTGATCTGCTGAATATGGAAACTTTTATCTACTGCTGAATAATGGTTTGCTACAAAAACTCTGTATTCTCAAGGGCCTAGCAATCTGGTTTCTCAGAGGGCCAGATCCACAAAAGTATTGAGACCACCAGCTGACTCTGATTTCAGTAGTAATTGGGGACCTGAATATTGATGTGGATCGGGGCCTAAATACTTGAAGTTAATGCAGTAGCAAGTACTTGTTAAGTAAATAATTCTAGTCTGAAACATCAGGATTAATGTGTTTTGTACACAGGGTAACCAATTTCCTTCTCTTTTGTGTTTTTGGAGTGATTACTTTTATATTCTCCTCTACAAAATAAAGCCTTTTTTGAGTCAGAGAGAGAAGAAACTCATGGTATTTCTGAACATAAGAAATGTTTTGCCTGTTCTGACAGTGTCTTAACTTTTTAATGGAAAAACACCTAGTTCTGTATTAATCAGATCACTGCTTGTGTGAGTAAGCCTAATGAGCTTGTTTGTACAAGTTAGTAATAATAAGTATGAGTAATTGCAGAATTTGGACCTAAATGATCCAGCCTCCCCCCAAAAATTGAGGTTGTCCAAAACAATTTATTATGTGGTTTAGTTTTCATAGCTCTGGCTTGCAGCAACACGGACAATAGGATACTGAACATGAACAAATGCAGTTGACTACAGAACTCTCCTTCATGTAGATACCTTAGCCGTAAGCATCTACCATATTAAAATAGTACACACAGTTTAATCGAATTGTCAGGTGAATCGTATCTGTTAATTATTGAAATATGGAACTTTCACAAATGCTCTTGTAATTCAGTGCTGATAATTCAGTAGTGATGAATTACATTTGTCAAAGACTCAGAAATATATAGAACCCAGCCAATTACAGCTGAAAAATATTAGATGATAATTCATCTTGAAGGAAGACAGGTAGAAGCTTATTTAGGAAAGGCAGAATTCCATAGAGCACTCTCAATTCTTGAATATCATGGAAAATGGACTGTTTCCTAAAGGAAGTAATCTACTGGTAACCTGGTGTCATGGTGGTAATAAACCCATTTCATATCATCACTCTGTTTGTAATGAGACGTCAATGTTCATATTGTAAATCTAGAGATTCTTCTAATTTAAGTTCCGTAGAACTTTAATATCTTTCTTTTGCATTATTCTGGTAGTAACCATGTTTTCCAGTCTAATTATCAAGTTGAAAGGGTCATAGACCAAAATATTTCTGTTCCCTGGAATTCTAGCTTTGCCCCTGTTGCTTCAACTGATAGTGCTTTCTGCATGACCATAAAAGGGCTTTTGAGCAAAAATGTTCTCCTTTTCTAATATGCAGACCTATGTGTGGTAGAATCCTCCTTTGGAAAGAGGAAGCCTCTACTTTGCACAGTTTGTGAAGCCCATTCCTGTGTGGTCGTACAATTGCCACCAGAGTACTGGACTGTCTAAAAGCTGAACACCACCAACGATCAGCTGTTCAGACTATTGTATCTGTCCCCTGAAAGAGCATAGGTCATACATCCAACATTTAGTCTTGGATTTTACAGTGTAGAGATACCTGAACTAGCTTTGATCTTGATATCTGGTATCAGTGTAGCTGTGGTACAGCTGGCAACATTTTTCTGCCCCAGGCTGGCCCATAATACCTGGCTTCCTGCCTCAGGCTTTGAATCTCTGCTCCTCCCTGAATATCTCAAGCTGCATGTGTTTGTCCTCACTGCCTACTCGGCCCCTGTGCAGAGTGAGTCTGGAGAAATAAGGGAAGTCTTTGCAGAGAATGGATGGCTCAGTACAACTCCATGCCACCCTGAGTTGGATCCAGCCTCTTTGCAGGCCTGGTCCATCTAGGGGGTTGTAGGTTACCCACCCCTGCACTAGACCAAATTGAGCTCTGTGCTAGACATGCCCTGCATCTGGTCCATTGCAGAAAGAGGGCTGAGTAATCTGTTTGTGTCAGTAATGTTGCAGAGGGTACGATCAATCCAGATAGGCTGGCTGCAATAACAGCTGTTTTTAAAAACGTTATGTTAGTGCTCATCAGGGATGGGGAGGAAAAATGTCATTTCAGTATAAGATCTGTTCCTAACCCTTCAAGTGTGGGGTTTTGTTTTTTTTTGTTTTTTGGTAAGCAGGTTCATGTATGTCCAGGTCAAAGGATATTCAATTCTGCCATAAATTGTTGTAATGTCCAAAGCCCAATTCAATACACAGTACTTGGATAAATTCCCCTGGTGTCAATGGGGGTTTTTTGCTGGGTGAAGAGATCCCTTTAAATCATTGTCACATTAGTAGTACAGTATATAGTTTGGCCTGAGTGTGCTTTTTCTCTCTCTCTCTGTCTCAAAAATTGCTTGTGAGGGGGGCACCATAGCACCCGATTCCTTTTCAAGCTCGCGCTGTGGTAACAATCAAGGACAAAAAAAAATGATATAGAGGTCAGTAGAGCAGTAGATCTGTGGATGGAATTTGGAAAACGAAATGGTAGGTTAAGGCCAGAATGAACCATCCAGATTATCTAATCTGGAAAATTCTCAATAGTTCCATGGTACCTGCTCTGAATAGCTTAATCATTGGTAAAATAGTTTCATATAATATGAAAACTAAATGCATAAGAATGTAAAGTGAACTAGTGATCTTATGTTTTGAATTGGAAACATGGTTGATTTTTTTTTTTTTTTTTTTTTTAATAATTACTATATCCAACATTTTGGTTAAAGAACAAAGATAGAACTATTAATGTTCTATTGGAGAATTTCTTCTCTGAGCATGTGTAATTAACCAAATGGTACTTTTTAATTTATTGCCTTGCGTACTAGGATTTATATATGAGAATATAGATTTATATCTGAGTTGACAATGAAATATATTAATCAAAATGCTGTTGGTCTTTGCTATTGCATGTTGCAACCTTGCATAGCTCTTTAGTCCAACTTTTTTGTTTATTTTGTTACGGATTAAAACATCAATACTAGCTTTGTTTTTATTCATGTCTTGGCAATATAGTATATAAAGTATTAAATCCCAGTATGTACGTGTTCCTGTCAGAAATTCGTCAGCGGACTACAGGTCAAAGGAATGTTCTTCCACCTACTCCATCAAGCCCTGAACAAGGATCTCCCAAGGCCTCAGGTGTGCAGGCAACATCTAGTGTGCAAAGGGACACTTCAGCTCCTGGTGGACCCCCAGAAAGAACTGTTGCACCAGCCTTGCAGTCAAATGTGCTACCACGACGTCCTGGATCCCCAACTTCAATGCCTGGAATGGGTAAACAGAGCACTTTAATGTTGTTTACAGTTTATATTGTTTTCTCTGGTTACCAATAAAACAGGCCATTTTCAGATGGTATGGAAATGGCATTTCATTTGGAAATAGCAGAGCAGTTATCTGATTAAGCAGGAGTTCCATATTCAATTAGCCATAACTCTTTACAGCTGGCACCTTGTGATACTGAAACCTATTGCCTGAGCTCATTTAACTGTTATGGCTTCTTTGTTTAAATGGCAATAAAACTTTGCAGTATTCTGTAGTCAACAGTATAGCATATATTTTTATATTCTTGGTTTAAGAAAGCTCCAGATTTATATAAATCGGGTACAAAGGAAAACACTTTCAGAATACACTCATGTTTCTCACTAAACCCTGTGCGTATTTTTTAACATGCATCTTGACATTTATTTAAATTTTTATTCTAGTAGGAATGTTCAAACAGCCTAGAGTAATGTGTAAAATACTGCATTACTCCAAAAAGTCTTTTCTGTTGGATAGCTGGGGGTTTTATAAGATTCATCCGGGTTCTGTATAAGAGTCTAGTGTGTAAGTGTCTAGCATCAGTTATGCTTGATATTTTGCAAAAACTGATTTTTTTTTTTTTTTTTTTAAGCCTCTCCTGCTGATGCTTTTTTCAGTTGAACTTTTGGTTAATTTGGGTGCAGTGAAAGTTCATGATTTGTAATTTAATCTGCATTCTATAGAGTGAAACTTTGATCCTCTTTATATTAAAGCCAGGAGAATACTACTTGTGCTTTTAGGTCCCCAGTGTAAGCTTTTGAAGTGATTTTTTTTTTTTTTTAGTTTGCATATTACAATTTAAAAGTGTGTGATAAACAGACATCTTTTGCTATTAGGGGAAGTATAGTCTTGGGAACATGAATTTCAGTACTGTATGTGGTTATACATTATAACAACGTAGTGGAATAAGATCTAAATGCCAGCTAAACTTTATTAAATTAACCTAGGCTGACCTGTGATATTAAGCTCTATCAACTAGTAAGAGAAGTGACTTTCATGGGCAGTCCTACCAAATAAAATGCACAACTTTTCTTCTGGAAAATAAAATGTAGAGGGGTGTTTTGTTCTTGTTTTTTCTAGTGTCATGGGCACAAATTGCATATACTGGCATGCTGTTACATTGCTGAGATCCTGGGTTTGAAAAAACCCGCACCTTAAAGTGGAGTGGTGCATGTTGTGGTGGTGTGCACTGCCCAAAACTGGAGCCTGGCCTGCCTTTTGTCACACAAGGTTAGGCCCCAGACCTTTGCAAAGGGTAATAGCCAGACGGTTAGTTCTTTGCTGTGAGTAGTTCTTCGTATAAGTTTCTGTAAATAGTGTTGTTTCCACATACAGGCCTCAGGAAAATACTACCAACAGCTCACTTGTTGCTTTGGGCATAAGCTACAGTGCTGAGCCAACAGCTGTGGTATTGAGAGGGTTAACACAAGATTCTATCCTTTAGTTTGCTGAACAGATGCAAGAAGCAGCCATCTTGGCAGCTGCATAGAATGCATGCACAGTGTTTCCAGGAGTTCTTTCTGCTGCAAAGGAAACGGATGCCCTGCTTAAAACACCCCAGCACCCAATTTTGGGGGGCTGATTTTTGGGGAATGGGTGTGTTAGATATGAGAAAATATGGTATTCTTATACCCTAACCTACTATTGAATGATTGTGATAGTGAAACATTACTAGAAGGTTCTGTGTCCAAAAGAAAAGTGCTTAATGAGGGCTTTTAGTAAATCCCCAGTCATTCTTTGAGTGAAGCCATCCCACAAATAAATGTACAGTTGTGTGTGCCTAGTCAAACACCAGCCTTTAGCAGAGTTTATAAAGTTCAAACTTGGCACTTACGTTGTTGGGTTGCTGAAAGAAAATTGGTTAAATGATAGTTAAATAATTGACTAGGAAAAGCATAACAAATTTCCTTAGCAATATTATGATGGAAGCACATTGAAATAGTTTTGTTTGAATTTGATTCTCTAGCTGTAGAATGTTTGAAAAGTGGGTTCACTGGATTTTTTTCAGTTCACAATTGCCAACTGTTAAATCTATATTTCCTTTTCGTGTAATTTTGCAAATAATATTTCATGTGCACAGAAATACCAGTATTTCCCTTAGTAACTAACATCTTGATTGTGCCTTCTTTGTATGGTGCTCGTCTGGTCAGATGGTAATAGAAAAGGCCAGAAATGTGATGTGTCATTTGCTGTGGAAGCCATATTTTTTGAATTCCCCATCTTTCAGGCATATAAAATCTCAGCCATAACATTGCACTCTAAACTGTATAAATTCATAGATGCAAGTAAATATTTTTAAATCTAAGCTTATGCATGGCTTACAACAAAATTGAATGGGCTTAATTATCTCTAAAGTAGAGAAGATTAATAATTCATTTTCATTATACTGTATTTTGTAGAGGAGAATCAATTTAACACGTATTACCACGGAGCTCCCATATGTTTGAAAATTAATAACCAGCAGGTAGTTGAGAGTTTGCCAAGCTTTGCAAAAATGACCAGTCTTTCTTCAATGATTGCTTTTGATGTTTATATTAATTACTGGTCTCCATAACAGCATGAGAACTAAGATTCATATTCTTGGTTTGAATTAGTATGCAGATAATTGAAGATATTCTTATGGAGCCATGTTCTCGTGTTTTCTGTCTTTTTTTTTTTTTTTTTGTTTTTTTTTTTTTTTTTGTTTTTTTTTTTTTTTTTTTTTTTTTTTTTTTTACCTTTTTATTATGGTTTAGAAACTTGAGGAGCTTTACAATTTAAAGGTTGCATGAAGAGCCTTATGCTGCTTTGAACACAGTGCTGAATATGTTGTAAGTGTTAATACTAGAAAAAAAGTATTGGTGTATGGTTTTTTTCTGTTCCAGCGCTGTACGTTCATGCCTGTATTGAACTTTGTCTGCTCCTTTTAATGGGAACACTTAAGTTTTATTAAATATTCTTTTATAAATGGGAAAAAAAATGTTTAACCTAAAATGTCTTATCAGGACGATTCTTTTTCAGAATCTACAAATGTGTAGTTATAGGGCCCAGTAAATGTATCATTTGAGAGTTTGTTTTAGCTTGCCACTTCTGGCTCCTCCTCCTTTTAACTTGGGCATTGCTGTTTGGCAGAATTCTGAAAAGCACATTTAGGTTTCTAATTTTTGGAAAGAGAAAGTAGGAAATATAACATTCCAACTTTGTAAACAGCATAAACTCTTGGGTTTCTGAAAATGATAGATAGAGCACCACCTTTTGTCTTGAGTAAGTTGCATCATATTGGAGCACTCAAGGGAAGATTCATTATGTAATGCAGTGCTTTGATGTATCAGTTGGCTGACAAGAGTGCTGGAAATTTTGCCAAGTTCTCAGTCTTCTCAACAGCAGAGATTTCCAAAAGTGGGCAGGATTTAGTCTTATTCTATCAGTAGAAAGGATTCTTCCTTGTATTACTAGTCATTGGAGCATGGGAGTATTCTCTTCGAATTCTGCCATTGAAACCCAGCATGACCTTGTGGCAGTTGCTTGAATTCCTTGTCACTGTTCCCCTCTGTATAATGGAAAGATTGAGAATGGAAGATCCCTTACGGCGCATGTGTCTCTTGTGTACAAGACTGGAATCTTCGGAAAAATGTCTCCTTGGGGGGTAAACCTGTGTGAGTTCATGTCTCCCCGGCACACAACCATATAAAGAACAGAAGTCAAGACTGCATCTTGGTTTCCTAAAGCTCAGGAGTCCACCTGTTATCTACTGCAGACTTTGTATAGAATTAGTTACTAAATATTAGTTTAGTTTATTGACAAATTTCCCCTTGGTGGACCTTATCTGCCTTTTCTCTTAAGATCTTTCCTTTCTGTTAACTACTGCTTGGCACTGAAATGGCCTTAGCCCTTGTTCACTACTACCCTCTTTACCATATTTTCTCATATGCAGCACACACCTTTGTCCCCAAAATTAGGGTGCATGTATTAAGCAGAGAAGTTGATTTTTTCTGACTGAAATAGAAGTACCCTGCTTTGATTCCTGCTCCACTGTGCAGCAGCTGTGGCATTATTACTCAGGCAGCTGAGGGAGCCAGTTCACTTAATGGCTCATTGCTCTTCACTCCAGGGGTGTTAACATTTATTTCTCCTTTTTTTTTTAAAATGGTCTTTACATTTCCAGTTCCTATAGTAGCTTCACACAGCTGGTAGATGAACTCTTGAGAATCTCCGGTCTTGTTTATGCTCTCTTCTTCATGTAATGACACAATTCCAGATGTCCCAAAAGCAGCTGGGGACCCATGTAAACTTCCTGTTAATATAAGGCCTGAGATTTTTTTTTTTTAAATTGACCTCTCTCCATGTTGTTGTAGGTAAACTAATGGTTGTTTGATTAGTCTGCAGAGCCCTTAAACTTGATTCTAAGAGCAGCCACTGTAACTCTAACGTATATCAACAGGTAGAACCCATTCATTGCTTCTGGACAGAGGCAATCAAGCTACGGAAATGGTGCTGTTCTCACAAAAATATTCAGTCCTTCCCTCTGCTAGGAGTACCAGCTGTGCTGCTTAGAGTTTTTTCCGTGCGATTTCCATAACCTGACCTTCATCCTTGCTGCTTTCAAATAATTCTTTATTAGATTAATTAATTAACAAAGGGAATAGAAGGGCAGTCGGAGATGCTTTGCTTGTTGTGCCCTCAGATTAATTAGGGGGTATAAAGACAGGCAGAGCAGTAAATGCTGCTGGCCAAGATTCTGACCTCATTCACATGAGGTGCTGTGTATACCATAAATAAGATCCAAACACAACTTGAAACAGCCATGGTTATTGGTAGGTAAGTAACTGTTCTTCCACTTCATTGTTTGCAAGCACAGAGAAGTCTTTTTCTCTCTTGACTGGTACAAAGAGAAAAAAGCTCTTTAACTATCTTGTGTTGATTTTTGGGTTGCTGCCTTTTTATTCTGTGTTTAATTCTAGTGCTTATCTTTCTCCAGAAGTCACACTGAAACTAATATTCTTCCATGTGTCGTATTCTCTTGTGGTTCATGTTCTCTTCTCATCACTGTAGTACCTGAGTGTTTTCCAGTAATGTAGTAAATAATTTAGTATCTCATGTGGTTACCTTCTTCTGGCATCTTCTCCCCAGGAAGCAAATCATGGTGGAAAGCATAATTTTGTGTTTATAAATACATGAGTAGTAGAGCAGGCCAGATCAGAAGTGTGCCTGGCACTTAAAGTGGCAGACCCCACACAGTTTGGGGTATTTCAGTTCCTGTGAGACTTTATCCCACAGGCTAGGACTGACCACCATGAAGTTGCCGTCTCCTACACATAGGAGCTTTACTCTTGTTATAGAAAAATCCATATTATCAGAGGAGCAGAGCTGTTGACCGTGGTCCTTGTGGCTTAATCTGATCTAATGAACGTTGTTAATGCATCTTTGAGTATTACTAATATTAAGAAGTAAAAATATAACTTCAAGTAGGTGGTTGGTGATTCAGTACTTGCATTGCAACTTTTACTAAATGCTTCTAATTCAGCTTTATTTAATTTAAGGATGAACAGCTGTGGTTTAAACTTCCCCCACATATTACTTAACACTGTTTGTGTCACTCTGTTTTTAAAAGCAGATATATTTTTAGGCTTTGCTGTGACTTGAAATATTAACTTGACTCCAAAAATCACTCAAAATATTATACCAAAAATCAGTAATATTAATCTGAAGGAAATCTAACTTGATGCGTATCACAGGAAGTACTCCGCCATATAACTAGCATCAGTTGCATGTAACAGCTGCCCTCATTCTAGCTAGCTGTTGGCAGCAAAAGCTAGAGTAAGTCAGAAATCTAAATTTCTTGTTTGTTTTTATTCTAACAATCACTTGATATAAATTGGACATCTATTTATAAAAAGATTACTGGATGAAAAAGTTATAGTTAGTTAAAATAATCCAACCAGACAGATACTTTCCAACTAGAGGGGTGGTTCTGTGATCCATAAAAAAGCAGTACAAAAGAACGTGACATTTTGTTATCTAAAGGTTAGAAAATGCAAATTGCCAGGCGGTGTTTTGGGTTGGAGGCAAACTGCCTTCAAAATATAGGAAACTACTCATGATTTTTATATAGGCAACCAGTAGTGGGAGGCAAGTAGGCCCCCCTCTACATATATTATAGTTTTGTGCAAATAACTGGTTCATTGTGCGATTGCACATGCAGCTGGTCTTCAGGTAAAGTACTTTAGCACATGATGAAAAGCTCCAACCAGTTATAAAGTTAGACCTCGGAAATGTGTAGTGAATTTTATAGCTGGTTGCTATTGAGCTTTAATTTGCATGTCTACCAGGGTCTTCCCTGAAGCTTGGAGCCCTGTCAGCTGATGGGTCTCCTAGCCACAGGGGTGCACCATGCCCAGCTTGAAACCCCCAGGACCTGGGGATTGTGGCTGTGGGGACTGCTCCCCCCTATGACCCTGAGGTTCACGGCTGCCTCTTTTTTTTTTTTTTTTTTTTTTTTCCCCCAGAGCCTGGGGATTACATGTACCCCTGAGCCCGGGAGATTGCAACTGCTGTTGTCCCCCCATCCTGGGGGTGCATGAGGCACCCCTACTTAAGGGGGCTCCCAGCCACAGGATCTTGCTGCTTGCCAGTGCAGGGGGAGCCTAGGATCAGGTTGGCGGGACAGGAGGCTTGATCACGTGTATTGCATTTTTAGATCCCTTTTTGCCTTTACCTGCATGTGTAGAGGGAGCCTAGGAGGCAGCCGGAAATGTCACTATAAAATGCAGTTAAGAGATGTTTATAAATCCTTACTACCAGGTACATGTAATTTTTATTTTGACCATAATTTTGTCTATGGGCCATGAGAGAGAAAACAAAGGAACAATATTCCCATTTTGATTTGGTTTTTGTAAAGTTTCTGGATCGTGTGGATGTGAAATGTAGATTGGCGGGAATCTTTCCTTAGTGTGGCTGAGAACTTCAGTATTAAAGAAAAAAAAGATTTTAAGGTCCAAGAGATGCATTTTAAAGTTATCTACAATTTGTGTAGAGATCAGATGTGTCCAAAGTCTGGTTCATGGGCAGAAGATTGTTAGGGTTTTTTTATTGGTATTTGTGTGGGAAGATGGAAAGAGGAGCAGAATCAGACAATGGGATGAATTCCTCAGAGAGAGAGATCTGAAAGTATATACATTGTTCCTCAGTTGTAACTGCTCATGTTTATAGGACTGCTGTGGTTTCAGGAAGGAAACACTTCACGGTTTCAAATGAGGAAGAACAGTTTCAGAAGGTTTCCATTATTAGGGGAGACTTTCTGAAGCAATAGTTTACATGTCTTCTATTGCATGTATTAACACACTTCCTATAAATGCTAATGACAGGAAATGTGAAATAAAGTTAAGGCTTGCATTCTAAAATAGTATGGGGGCAAAATGTACTTGAATTTTTCAAATTTGGCTCTTTGAATTGATGGGGGAGAGAGTAAGGAGGGGAATGTTCCAAGCAGTCTCTTCCCGTTCCAAGCAATAGGGCTCATCCTTTATGTTCAGCTTTTAGTAGTTTATTTTTTTACAGCGGCCTTTGCTCTTTATTAAATCACATGTTCCTTATTTTCCTGCAGTACCTCTCTTAGCAGAAATGCTATTTTGATGTGAAGATTCAGTTCATTATTGATACCAATGTAGTGTTAGTCAGATTTTAACAGCTAATTTCTTCCTGTCGATCTTGTGATTTGATTTAATTTTTATTTTTTTATTTATTTTTTTTTTAAATCGATGTTTGGTTTATTAATAAACCATGTTTGAAGGGCAGAAGTTTCAGCTTTGTCAGATAGCGAAGTGATGTTTTGAGGTAAGATTCTGATGTCTAGTAAATACTTGGGTCCTGTGGTGCTTTTACACTAATAACCACTTTAAGAGCTGCTGTATGTTGACTAAGCGATGTAAAATGGCCTTGCTATGACATCTGAATTGGACAAGCTGTTAAGAATGTTATGTGTAAACTAGCCAATTACCTGCCAAGAATGACTGGCAGGGGGGAGGGGCAGGCAGGGACAGACTGCTGCCACCCACCACCCTGTACTGCCACCACTGCCTCCCAGGAGCGGTGGGGGAAAGCTTGCCCCTGCCATACCTTTTTGTCCCCCTCTGCCAGCACTGCACGCCACCACCTCTAGCACTGCTGGCTTCCCTTCCCCCCCCCCACCCACTCCCAAGCCCTACTCCTCGAAGGTGGCAGAGGCAGAGTGCTGCTGGCTATCACCCCCCCCCCCCACGCGTGTGCACACACACTCCATCTCCTCTGTCCCCACGGTCATGGCACTGCTCCACACTCTGCTTGATTGTTTTACTAACCAGAGTGCTCCAAGAGCATGACGGACAGACAGATGGACTAAGCCCTTTATTATACAAGAATGACCCAGAATGGATCTTTCTGTATGCAACTTTGTAAGCAGCTTTTACTATGAAGCTTATAGTATTTTGACTGTCCTTAGAAATGTTAAAATCTTTTATTAGTACATGATGGAAAATGGAAATATGGGATCAGAAGATCAGTTTTGAGTAACAGTTTTTTTTTTTTCAGGGAATGAACTGTAATTTGGCCATTTTGAGTATAAAATAGCATCTTTGACTCAAATACATTTTTACTAGTTTGACTTTTTCTGTTATCTTTGTATGAAGCTGCTAGCCTGTCTCCAGTAGAACTGTCGCATCATATATAGCCAATATGTAGCTGAAAGTAATATTTTTTTTTTTTTTTTAATTTGTTTCTTTTGATAGGTCTTCATCCTCCGGGTCCTCCTTTAGCAAGACCTATTCTTCCTCGAGAAAGGGGAGCTTTGGATAGAGTTATTGAGTATTTAGTTGGTGATGGTCCACAGAACAGGTAAAAAAAAAAAAATGCTAATGATAAGTAAATACATAACAAGTGTGGGATGTTTCACTGCTTTTTTTACATGTTCAGGGTTAAAGATATTGTAGAACTCTAATTCTTGTTTGCAGCTGGTATTGAGTAACAGCTGTTTTCACTGCAAAGTGGCTCATTGCAGTGCATCTTGTGAAATCTATTTTACTGAAATGTGCTTTCTGACTATTGGAAGTTTAAATTCTACCTATGAACAGAAGCTGTATTAAAGGGAAACCCTTTATTGAAGTTTGAGTAGGAAAAGGAGCCAAACATCAAGTAAAAATACCCAACTCCCTTTATTTAGCTGGATTGTCTTTTTGTGTTTACCTATTGCCTTCTGAAATTTTCCAGTGTACTTGCTTGCTTAAGCCAGATAAGGTAATTATTCCAATGATTAAACTTTTATGCTCCATTCCATGTATTGAAATCTATTTCTGTTGAATCTGGTGTGAAGCTGAACTGCTAAATCATGAGGCTTAACTTGCCTTATGGTTGGGTTTTTGTGTAAAAGTCAAATCTTCACTACTTCTTAAACTACAATTTTAAGAATTAAACTTCCTGGTTTTTGTTAATGTGCAAGTGAAGAGACCCTGCTAAATGGTAAAATTTGCCTATTACATTTGGTTACTTGTTAGGAATAATTAAATTCCTTAAAAATCAAGACAATAGAATAGCTATGCAATGTTTTATATTGGATATAGTCAAATAAGTAACTTTATTGCATTTTTTAGGTATGCCCTTATATGTCAGCAGTGTTTCTCTCATAATGGTATGGCTCTGAAGGAGGAATTTGAATACATTGGTAAGAACTAGTGGGCATATATTTTTTGACTGCTTAAAAATTCTTCATAGGAGACTTGCTGTTGTTTCATTTGACTCTAGTTGAGTATACCAAACCTTATACTAAGTTTTATGGTAACTTACTACTCTCTAGCTTAGGATGCACTAAGATTTAAAAAAGTATTTATTATAACCTGCAGGCCAAGGATTTTATGTGTATAAAACTACTCAGTAAAAATAAGCCTCTTCCAGTGCATCCTTGAGAATCGCTACTGGCTATGAATGGCTCTCAGAAGGGTTTTATATCAAGAAACTATCTGACATTAAAGTACTCCACTTTACCAGAACTTAAACAAGATCTTGCTTTGGCAAGAAGATCTCAGGGAGGCAACAGAAAAAGAGTGGGAACAAGCCCTGGGGGGGCTGTACGTGAGTTTATGGCTGACAATAACTTAAGACAGACACAGCTCTTTATTGAACACAGATGTTTTGTTGTGCCTCCTCTCAAGAGCTACAGTAAGTTCAAAATTTAATGGCTAAGAAATTGTCCCAGGCAATTCTCTCTTCTCTTCCCCATCTGCCTCTCCCTCTCACCCCACCTCCAGTTCTGTATGGATATGTCACATTTCTCTTGATTCTGGGAGGAAGGTATTAAATATAATAATGGAATATATTTAGTATTTCCCACTAACCGTAAGAAGTGTATGTTGGAGGTCAGCTTCCAGACAGTCCAGGGAGTCAAAAACTAACTTTTCTTTGGTCTTTGCAAATGTGTGTGTTTTGTTTTGGTTTTTTTTAAACTATTGGATTACTGACTCTTTCTCTAAAACAAACCCGGCTTTTATTTTACTAGAGTCCAAGCTGAATATTTCATCAAATAATAAATGACATTGCATATGGGGCGGGGAGTGGGTATCAATATTGATACCTGTTTTAAGCAAAAAAAACAACTTATTTAGCACCATTTCTTAAACCTTCCTGGCAGACTTCAGTGTGTCATATGATGGCATTATGCAGTAGTGAGTTGCATTCTTTTGTTGGTGACTCTACTCTTACAGCTCAGCAAAGATGTTCGCCAGTTAAAGAAGCAGAGCAGAAAGTAAAAGGGTATTAAATGGACAGATATATGCACAGATTAATAAGAGAAAATGGAGTTGTGCATACCAAGAAGTTCAGCAATTATGCTATCAGCCCTAAAATTGAAAAGTAGACTACTTGGAATACTCTTGAAAAATAGCTGAATTTAAAATTAGTTAACCTAAAAAAGTGAAGTTGAGTATTGAAGTCATTTTTTTAAAATATTGAACTGTTTTTCATTTTCTAGAGAATCAAATATCATATCATAATCTTGATTTAGGAATCAGCTTGCACAGTGAGACTTTTCTGACCTTTATTGCACGTGCTTTTGTAAATGTTTGTGCAGCATTTAGGTGTGCCTACTGTTTTTTCCTGAATCCTGCAAGAAAAACTAGACCTCAGGCTCCACGACTTCCAGACATAAGTTTTGAAAAGAAGCAGCCTGCAGAATTGCAGACTACCCCTGGAACTTTGCATTCTGGAGGGGTAAAAGAACAA